CAGATGGGCAGCCCCTGACAGCCTGGTTCACTGCTCCCCTCTTAACAAATGCCCCCGCCCCCAGACAAGTTCGAGACCTCTATCAACGTCCAATTTCAAGCCATCACCAAGTCCTATCAATTTTGGATTCTAAATATCATTTGGATCCTGCGGTCCTGTCCATCTCCCACTTCCCCAGTCCACGCCACCATAGACTATTGTAATATCCTCTGAAAGGCACCCACTTCGTTCACTCCTGCCTTCCATACTGTTTCCCACACTGTAGCTAGAGTAGCCTTTTAAAAATGTTAATCTGAATACACCCACCCACTTACTCCTACACACACATTCCTACTCCTGCCCTAAATCATTCAGTGATGCTTCCTGCCTTTCCCCATCACTCTCTCTACCCAAGACATATTGGCTTGTCTGTTCTCAAAAGCACCATGTTCCCTCCACCCCAGGACCTTTGCATATGCTGTTCCCTCAACCTGGGTGTTCTGACTATCTTTCTTTGCTTAGATAACTCCTCTCATCCTTAGGGGAGGTCTTCCCTGACCACTTCTCACCCAGTCCGAGTCTGGGTCCAGATCCACTGTTACGTGTTCCTATAGCAGCAATTCTCTCTTCTTCCTCATTCTTATCTCAGCTTGCATATTTATTTGGCAGTTGCTTATTTGTTTAAACTCCTCTTCCCCATGAGACTATAAGCTCCACAATGGGAAGAATGTGTCTATTTTTGCTCACTGTTATATCCCCAAAGCCTAGTATATTGCCTGGAACATAGCAGGTGCTCTATACATACTTGTTGAATGACTGAATGAGCTCATATAATCCTCCCAACAAGCCTGGGAAATTTTCGCCTGTGGCCAGTGCTCTTTCCCTGCTCTGACCTCTGACAGCACCTGCTCTCACGGTATTATAAGATGGAGAGCAATAGACTCTGAAAGACAGGGCTCTAGAGCCTGACTGACTGGGTTCAAATCCCCCCTCTACCACTTCCCAGCTGTGTGCCATGGGGCAAATTCCTTAACATCTCTGTGCTTTAGTTTCCTCTTCTGTAAAATGTGAGTAATAATAGTACCTGTCTCATGGGGTGGCTGCAAGGATCAATAAGTGAGTTTCTTTTTTTTAACTACATTTTTAATTTATCTATCTATCTATCTATCTATCTATCTATCTATCTATCTATCTATTTAGTGAGGAAGACCAGCCCTGAGCTAACATCTATTGCCAATCCTCCTCCTTTTTTTCTCTTTTTCTCCCCAAAGCCCCAGTAGATAGTTGTATGTCATAGTTGCACATTCTGTTAGTTGCTGTTTGTGGGACGCAGCCTCAGCATGGCCAGACAAGCGGTGCGTCGATGCGCGCCGGGGATCCAAACCCCGGCCGCTAGTAGCAGAGTGCGCGCACTTAACTGCTAAGCCACGGGGCCGGCCCCAATAAGTGAGTTTCTATAACATGATTTTAGAAGGGCTTAGCACATGTGAGAGCCCCATTAATCGTAGTTATTATCAATATTATTAACAGAAAGAGCACAGATTCTGGGATTAGATGAGTCTGGTTTTCTCTCACATTTGCAAATTACTTCCTGTATGACTTTGGATAAGTCACGGCACACCCCTGAGCCTCAGTTTCCCCATCTGTTAAATTGAGATCTCAAGGCCCGCTTCTTTGTGAGGGTCGGATAGGATGGGAGTGAAGCCCTTAGCACAGGGCCCAGTGCCTGGTGGTTCCCCTCCTGACTGAACTGGTCAGTTGCCTTTTAGACAAAAAGCCCCTTGAAGATAGGCTTCACGCCTGCCTTATTTAGGGCTGTTATCCCTGCCCCTCTGTCCCTGGCACATAGTAGGTGTTCAATGAATGGTTCTTTACTGAATGAATCAATCAATGATGACAGAGACAAGGCTTTGCTCATCTTTGTGTCCAAGTTGAGACGAGCGCAATACCTAGCATCTAATTTCAATAAATGTTTGTTGACAGAACAGATATTTTAAATGGCTATTCATTTCTGTTCTGAGTCCCACCTGAGTTTCTGAATTAAACTGAGAAAGATACTTGTTAAGCAATCCTGAATCTCTCTAGCCTTAGTATTCTTGGCTGTAAAATGAGACTATTAATAATATCTAACTCTTAAGAGTGTTCTGAAAAGTAAATGAAGCAGGATGGATTTGGCACATAGAAAATGTTGGTTCATCATCATTCCCTTCCCTGAGCCTCAGTTTCCTCATTCGTGAAATGGGCATCCACTCACTCATTTATTCATCCATTGCTCAACAAACACAGTGCCCATGTGCAAGGCATTGTAGTTAAGACCTAGGGCAGTTAGAGAGGTGAACAAGCGTGGTCCCTGCTGTGAGGAACTCAGTGTTTGCTGTGGGAAGAGGCCAGGCCAGGTCTCTGGGCTCCTGCATCCAAGGGGATCATGCTTGTCTCCGATATTCACAGCTGGTTCCAAGGAACTGACCCCTGTCAATCAAACTTACGAGAGACTGAAACATCTGAATTAGAATTTTACATTTAAGCTGGGTGTACTTGTGGGGTTGGGAGGGACTATGCATCTCCAGTGACCAAAATATTTCCACCTGTTACCCAGAGCACTCTTTTCTTTTCAAGTAAAAGAAATTTACATGCCAAGGGTATTTAAATATCAGGGGAGGGTCTGCTCTCAGTGGGCTGGCCAGAGGTAGAAGGATGTCTGGGTCCCAGTGGCCCATCAGAAGCAGGCCTCAGGGAAGAAGCAAGATTTAAGAGATGAGAGCCTGCCTGGACCACTTCTGTTGGGAAAGGCCTCCCTGCAGTATTTTTTGTCTCCTCAAGGCTGCATTTCATTTTAAATTGCAGCTGAAAGCAGATATTTTCCCTCTTGCCTATTACACCTCTTAATTTGTCTCTCCCTCTGCTGTTATTTGTCTCTATAAAGTGTTTTGCATGAAAGACCCACACAGCACAATGTTGCTTTGCCCTGGGTTAGATTTAACAGGAAAGGAAGACAGAGACTTAAGTCCAAGGGGGAAAGTGCGAGGGCCTTGTGGTCAAGACACACATGTGTCTGGGAATATATGCCTGGCAGTGTGTACACGTGCATGTTTTTGGACCTGTTGTGTGGGTATCTGTGCACATGTTAATACTTGCACTAATACGTATATACGTCTATGTATGCTTTGGTATAATCACTTGGTGTCCATACCTAAATTAAGTGTATGTTTGTGTGCAAGTACACACCCACATGCAATCTCTGAGAGCATGTGTTTCTATGCATAGGAGCATACATGTGTACACAGACACACGCCGGCATCTAGGCATGCAGGTCACATGATGTGTGTGGTCTTCTCTGCACACGACCAGGGTTCTCTCTCCTTCCTTGCCCCTGCACCGCTGCGGCTAGCATCTCTCCCTGCCCCACCCAGGGGCCCTGGCCCGAATCTGGGCTGTGGGTAAATGAAGGCAGAGCAGTGGTCTGCGGGAGTCCCGTGGAAACACTGCCTTAGCCCGGCCCAACCGCAGCCACCGCTCTCTGGCTTGGCTCCAGCCACCCCTTCCTCACAGCCTGCCACAGCAGCACCACCGCGGCTCCGCGGACGCTCTGGGGACCCCTGGGCAGTCCCCCAGCTCCCTGCCAATCCTGGACTGGCACTGAGGGGTGAGAGGTTACCGAACGACGGCCAGAGCCCTCCAGACTAGCCGGGTCTCCTGTCCCCTCCCGGGGACCAACAACCGGAGCACCGCGGGCGGGGGCCGGAGGGGGGTCTCGGTCGCTCCCAGTCCAGCGAGCGCTGGGCACTAACCAATGGGCGACTGCCGCCCAACGGGGATCCCTCCGAGGCAACCAATGACCTCGCTCCGCCCCCCACCCTCGCCAGCCCCGCGCAGCTGGACCATTGGTGCTGGTGGGACGGGGGGAGTGTGCGCGGCGCTGGCCGTTTGGGGGAGGGGGCGTGGCTTGGAGGCCCTTCTCTCCCCACCCTCGCTTAGGCCCCGCACTCCCCACCCCGGACGCCGGGCCA